AGGACACAGGCGCAGCTGCTGCTCCCCGACGTGGAGATTTAAGGATCGTTAGGGCTTTCAGCGCTCCCTCCCCCGTGGGGCTGTGGCTTGGTTTGTGCTTGGTTGGCATGAGGGAAACAGACCCCACCTCGGGGGCAGCGGTGTCCTGGCTTGCCCAGCCTGTGGCATCGGGCAGCTGACGCTCAGCACGTTGCTTAGACGAGCTGCCACTTCAGAAAGCCTACGCCGTGCGGTTCTGAAGGCGTTACAGACATTTCCCATCACCCGGGGAAGGTGGGGCTATCCCCGTCTTATCCATGAGGAACAGGGCGTGAGAGGGGAGCGGTGCCTCCACAGAGAGAAGGGGAATGACTTCACCAGGCTTCTTTCTACATCGCCTGCTGGCAGGGGTTTCCTTTCTGCTTCTGCCGCTTGGCAGCTTTTCCCTCCTAGGCTATAGTAAACATTACAGTTCTGTTGGGTCTCAAAGACAAATGGCCAAGTTAAAAAAGAAACACTGGATAAGTGACAAATGAGAAAGTCATTTTTTGTGTGTAAAATATTTGAGACAAAAATTACGTTAGTAGCAAACATTTCTCCTTCATTGCTCAGCACTGGATAGAGGCTTTGGGGGAGTTTGTCCAAGACCTGAATCAGGCAGATCACATTGGAGGAGGAGTCCCTGGCGGGTGGATCACACTTGGGAGGGTTAGTATGTAGCAGATCATCTTTCAGAAGTATCTACACTTCAGTGCTTCCTAAGGCTGCTACTGAGCCAACATGGCTTTGAACCCAGAACTGCCTTCAGAGCCCTGCTCCACCAATGAATCTTCCACAATTTGTCAACGGAGCCAGCCTGCTTCCTCACCTGTATTATGGAGATTGTTTTGTTACTTTCCTACGGAAAAGGCTGTGAGGATTAGAGTGAGATTCCCGCATATTGTCTGGCCCACTGCAGTTACTCAAAACACATGAGTTCCCTTTCTTTTCCTTTACTAATCAGAGCCAAAGTTTGTCAATGCTTAGGATGGGTCCAACTAAAAAGTTCACACAAAAAGAGGAAAAAAAATCCACTGTGTTGTCACTTAATACATCAATGACATCTGTTTGCAAAACTCTACACACCACCTTAACACTGCAGGCATGCACTTTCAAAAATAATAGCAGCAGCATGAAGATTTAAGATTGTCCTCATAAGTAGATATAAACTAGTTGAAGCAGCAGGAGACATAACCGCCTCAATGTCAAGCATGGTTTTTCTTCTTCCACAAAACTAGTTGTATCTCAATATGGATGGGCTTTTCCCCAGACACCTATGACCTTTTCTAAATTATTAGGAAGTGATAGAGGACATGGATGAAGGGGGTTAAATACTTTAAAAACAGGTTCCTGGTAGCTAAGAATTCACACATGCTATTCATTTCATCATGAAACATCAGTAAAGGACAAATCAGACTTTGTTTATTAAAAAAATACTTTACAGGAAAAAAAAAAAAACCTCTATGCATTCCATTGTCCTATTTTACAAAGAAATAGCTTAACAAGTTAACACACTTAGACAGCTACAAAAAAGCACTGTGCTAAAAGATTATTCACACAAATTTAGGTTTAAGACTATTCATTAAAAACCTTTTTAAAACACTTGTTAATGTCAATAAACAAACTAAGGCCACACAACGCAAATAGTCCGCCAGGCAAATTATACATTTCATCTATATGCAAAGACCTTAGATAAATTAAAGCCACAGGAAAAAAAGTCTTAGCTGCCAATCAAAATGGAGTTTAGTCACAAAAAAACACCATTACATGAAAATTTACAACATGTGATAGAAGTAGTACATAAGTATTTCTTTAGCGAGAATTGAAAAGTGCTATATTAAGAGACAGTGGTCTCAACTACATGCACAAGTGGATCCTAAAAAATGTATGAAGAAAATGGAAGGCCATAATATTTATGGAGAGATACTTGCTTTTAAAGCAACACACTTTAGCATGGGGATAGGTCCCTCCTATGCTAAAGCAAAACACCTCTTGTACATTTCCTCTACTTACTGCATGACCAATAAATACAGCTACAACCTGTTGTTTTAAATAAAACTTAGCAGAAATACCAGTGAAAGGTTCTTTTTTAAAAACCTGTAGCAATGACAAAACAAATTCATTAGAAAGACACCAAGTCAATTATCCTGAAGGCATAAACACCAATTTTTAATGGCAAATACAGATGAAAATATATTATGGGCTAATATTAATGATCAAGAATATATTCACTAAGGGTTTTCGTGAATTTTGGAGTCTTGTTCCTAAATTAGCTTTCATTCTAGACAATATTTATAGAGGGGAAGGCAACAAGCAAAAGTGTGAACTTTATGCCTCTTAAGACTGATGCAAGATGATGCGAGACATCTTTTCCTAACGTTTAAAGAATTTTATTAAATAAGCTCCTTTTTCCTACTACAAGAGCTTGTAATATTCATCTGATATTCCAACTGTCTCTAAGGGGGAAGGGCACCTTTCAAAAGTCTTTAAAAATAATGAAGTACCAATGAAACAAAATTGTTAAGTGCTGAATAAGCAAATTAATAAATGCACAAGCCAGCCTCGGAATTCCTTCTTAAAGAGTTAAAATTCTGAAGGGGAAAACTCATGTAGGTTTTTATTGTTATTGCTTTATGAATTTGGAATACCTCTTTGAATCCTAACCCTACTCCTAGCATATCTTGGTGTAATTATAGAATGACTTCTGGGGCAGGGGGAAGACTTTTATCCTTATTCATGAATACCATAAAATCGTTCTAGTTACGACATTAGAAATACTCACATATTGGGTCCTTTCCATAAGCACATTTAAAAATATGTGCTCCACAATAGCGGTCACCAACCGGTGGTCCGTGGACCACTGATGGTCTGTGAGGTCCGAAAGGTTGGCAACCGCTGCTCCATAAAATACTAAAACTTATAGCCACATTCTGCAAGTAATCTCAAAGAGTTGGCACAACAGATAAGATACCAAAAAGGAAGATCAGCTTAAATTTCAGTTACAACTTCACTGCCATCAATACTTTACAAATCAGAAGACGCCAGTTTGCTCCATGCCTCACTCCACCAAACCAAATAATTTAATGAGTTAGAAAAGTTGCAATCATTTGTATCACTAAACTAGGATACAGCTTGGAAAGCAGTAAGAAACTCAAAACTTGGGCTTTTATATTGCTCAGTCTTTAAAGCATGCTATTAAAATCTAATACTCACTCACATAGGACATTCAGTTTCCAGATACATTACTAGCTAAATGTTTCTCTCTCCATCCTATTGCAATTCTAACATACAATGAATTTATTAGTACATGATTTTAAACATTTTTATACTCTTTTAATGTGTTAATATTGGAGGTGAGGGTAGAATGTGTCAAAGGAAAGTGGGGATTTGCTTTTGATTGTAGGTCTTTGCAGATCCGCTGGTTCCTGAGTGATTAAACACAGTGCTGGCTGTCAGGAGACAGACTCCTTGTGTATTAGCAATGACCAGCTCAGATGACAGGTGGCATCTGCTGGATGGCAAGTGGGAGATGGGGAAATCGGATCTTGGAAGACAAGGAAGGAAAATAAAAATGAAAGTTTTTGCTTTAGCAACCTTGTTCTTCATGATTATTTTAAAAAACAAATGTTGCCTGAGAAGAATTTTACTTTGCACAGCCTCGTAAAGCTCTATGAAATTCTTCTGGACAGAAAAACAGAAACAAGAAAGAACCTGAACCCACATACTTTGTGATTAACCCCACCCCCCGATAACAAAAAAACACCCTTAAAGGCAGGTCCCTTAAAAACTAGTCTTGATAAACTAGAATTTACCCTAGAATTTATACCCAAGATTTAAAAACACCCCTGCAATAATCACATTACTTTTCATACCATTCTAGTTACCTTATTTACAGAGATAACGAAAACCAACATCACTTCCAATTCATAAATGGTTTACATTGAAATGTTTCTCTATTTGTCTTTATCCTTTTTAACAGAGAATACATACATATACATATATATAAGGAATAATACAGGTTCTAACTAATCACTGCAGTATTTGCTGATGGTTACTTTTCTATCAGTTTACACAGTGACCTCTATACTTTGCTAATATGCATTTAACTACACAACAATATTGCACAAAGTAATATTTATATAAGATTTAACCTATTTCAGAATATTTTAGAGAAAATTCATATTTGATATTTCAAAAGATGCAGCTAAGTTTTCATGGTGACAGACATAAAGCAGCATCTTTTTTGCCTATGTTAATGTAAATATTCCAAATCTCACCCTCCAGGAAAAAAAAATCTCCAAATTGCACTATAAACAGGTAGATATAAGAATCTGGTCTTAGGTGTGGGGAGTACTCTTCCTTTAATAAACAAAAGGCCTATAATATTATTAACTAAGAGAAAGTAAAATGTGTATCACATTAACGTTCTAAAATAATAGAAAGACTACACTAGCTATATGAACTGTGCCTGTGTAAAAAAAATTTAAATACTCAGGCACTAAGCACTGGGCTACCTGAAACTCTAGGATGAAGTCGGTGCCATATTCTTTAGTGGAAAGTGGCTACACAGAGTCATAGAAAATAAGCTCTGGTATTCACTGTTAAAACTGACTTGAAGGATCTCAATAGTAGGTCTTTATCGTGAAGAGGTTGGTGCCAGGAGACAAAAAGATTTTCCTAAATGTCATGCACAGAATATGGCAGCCTCATCAGAGAGATTGCTATCATTCCCTCAGTTTGATACTCGTGATCAGTTTAGGAAGCAAAAGTATCCGCACAAAATGTGAGGATGCCAGGAAGCAGAACAGTAGAGTATCAAGTCAACGTTATCTCTTTTACCCAAAATATTTTCCATAGTTACCTTGTATATGAACCATGGATAATGAATGAGCAAGGACTATACATCTTTAGATATTTTTAATTGAAATATCCACTGGGCTTTAAATAACAGACACAAAGAAGACAGTTTGGATCAGAAAGTGCTGTGCTTTCTCTTCTGTTAAACCAGAGAGCCACTGAATTTTCCTTAGAACTACCTGTTCTTTACGGTTAGAACTGAATAACTTACTTGCTTTTGAACAAGATACAAGAACTCTTTCCTGTAACCTATACCGTTTTACTGTAGAAACTGAATCTGTGCCATAAAGACAGAGTACTAAACCATAAATCTGATCTTCTACCATAAAAACAGCAACTATGGCAAGAGACAAGACAAAATTAAGGGAAGTGAGTAATTTACCAAAAAAGAATCTGTATTCCAGAGAGTTATTTTGCTTTGAAGAAGAGATTGAATTATTACCTCACACCTTGAAACGGAAAGTAGCAGCAGACCCACTATCACGTACTGTACTAACGGGATAAGATACAACTCTTAACTTTGCATAATCTGTGTAAAAAAGATATGCTTGACATTTGTGGAATGTCATTTCTCTTTTTATAGAATTATAGGCAAGATTTCTCCAATAAAACTTAACTTAAGCCAGTTATAAAACTATAACTTCACATCAAAATTTAAAAAAGTTAAAAAATGTGTTTGAATATGTACATATCACACAGGAGTGCTGGAATGTTCCTGTAGCTTGTGTTGCTGCTCGGAGTCCAGCCTACTTCCCACCTTTAACACCGGGACAGGCTGTGGCACCTGGTCCTGCTGCAGATTCAGTTCTGAGGAAGGTGGGACGGAAGATGAAGCGGTTGTGAAAAGCTGCATCTCTGCGCATGTTTCTTCAGGTTCCGTTTTTATCCTCACACACTGGGAGTCAACTTCTAATTCTCGCTTTCCAGTTAAATCGCGGTCCATGTTAGAACTGCTTTCTGTGTTCTGAGTGGCTTCCACAACAGGGTGGTACTGTTTGAGCCTTATATGCCAGGCGAGGCTGCACACTGCGGACACCGTTTTGAACTGATGAATGACGTTTCTGGGGATGAAGTAGATGTCATTGTCGCACAGCTGAATTCTAGCGTAACGGATGCCTTCCCGCCGCATTTGGTTTAGTTTGGCTTCATCCACCCACTGCACACACTGAAG